GCCTGGTTCTCACGCGTGCACTGTTCACGTGCGGCAGACAATTGGCGGAGTATGATGCCAGCGAGAAGTTTAAAGACGCAGTTGATTAAACTAATTCCTTTATGATTTTCACAGGAGGACCAGTCGCCTTTCTTGTAAATCGGTATGATTACCGGTTCACACCATTCAACTAGAACCTCTTCCTTCTCCGACACTGAGCCCAACAGTCTTGTTAGCTCCAAAACCAAGGCTGAACCTCCATCCTTAAAAACCGATGTGGACAGCTTGTCTGGACCAAAAGCCTTATGTCTTCGGAGATAATTCATTTCTCGGGTAACCTCCATTTCCGATGGGGAACTAACATCAACTGGCAGAATTTGCCCAGTCAAGGTGGAGGGCGAAAGATCAGATTTCGATGGGCGCCAATTGAACTGAGCCCATCAATCAAGACGGCGTTGCTGATCGGGAACCAGCGTGCTATTGGATTCTTCAATTACCTCATTCACGCCTACTTTCCTCGGCCTGTATTCCTAATTAGACGGAAAAGATTGCGACTACTGCCGATAGCCGCAGCCTTCTCCATCTCTCTACACTTCTCTACCCACCACTTCTCGCGGTCATTCCTCAGACTCTTGATGAGCTGGCGTTAAGCGGTTCGCGCGCTGTATCATATGTGGCATCCGGAGGCAGGGTTCTGCGGGCGTCCAGCAGGGCAACCGAGGTCGACGAGATCCATCGTTCGTGTTTTAAACCTGTGCCAGGGTCCGACGTTGTTTTTAATCATATTTGCATAGGGTCGGTAGAAATCAAAATATCATCAACATAACGTTTGTACAAAACAGCCATTGAAACATTATCATTCATTTGTCTTTCAACCATTCCTAGAAATACATCGGCTAATGTTGGGCCTAAGGGACTGCCCATTGCTAGACCGTCAATTTGTGTGTGCGCTGTACCTTTAAATTCAAAACGTATGTTCTCAGTCCAAACAATGATAAGACCTTTTAAATAATCAAGGGGAACAGGAAGATGAATATTCATTGAAGAGATAAAATCACATAAAAAGTCTACTGTTTCATGGACAGGAACATTTTTAAAAAGTGAATCAACATCAAAAGAAAACATTTTGTGAGAAGATAAATTAAAATTGTCCAATAAATCAGCAAGTTTAAAAGAGTCTTTGATACAATGAGGCGTCAGAGCTTTGCGAATAGGATCCAAAATGTTGATCAACCATCGGGCCTTGTGATATGATGAATTCTGCATGATAAGACTGGTCTGAGTGGGGCACCGGCTTTGTGAATTTTGGGTGAGCCTTTCATCTGGGGTGTCTCTCTGTTCCCAGTGGTTTCAGATTTTTGTGTTGAGCTTCAGAGATGTAACCGTGTAATAACAGAATCTGAAGCTCCTACGTCCATATAGCGAGGGTTTTCGACCGGTAAACCGCCCTTCACCGTGTTTATTTGCTGGGGTGGTCTCTCCTGGGACGGGTGTGGATAGATGGAGGTTAGGAGGTACCCAAGTAGCTGGCTTTGTGAGACTGAGCTCTGTCTGGCCTCTACCCGTTGACCTTTTGGGCATGATGGGATCTACGGCTGTGAAAAGCCATCATGTATAGCTCGCAAGATCATGGAAGCACGCAACCCATCACACCACGCCAAGGTGCAGTCTCGTCGTGATGGCACCGCACGAAGGTGAATAGTTGNTAGAAACTGAACTGAGGCGTGAGGCCACCTCATCATCATCGAGACATAGAGAACCCATTGAACAGAACACAAATCAGGATCAGACTTCATTACTTCCCGAATTTCCAGACTGTCCACAAACAACAGGCATGGGGATGCGAAAATACACTGGAAGTCGTTGGTAAAGAGTAGGAACAGTATTGGTCCTAGTGTTATGAGGTACTGCTCACATTTGTGAGTAGTAGGCAAAACAATGCGGTTGGCGGTTTTCTTCGGCAATTAAAAATTAACAAGACCACTAAGGGCGAATTGTTGCGCCCCGAAGATTATCTACATACGATTCCATTCATTATCCTGTGCGCTGCCGGGAATTGTGATGACATGTTTCGAATGAGATATTTGTTATATGTATGCCAAACTGTTGATATCCTAAATGCAATCTGCAATGAACAACCATCCTCGATCAGGCACCGCCTTGTAGAATTAGAACACTAGTACTGTCCGGTGTAACGCCACTGGGGGGGGGGGGCGATGATAATGGGATAGTAACCCTGATACCTTCACCATAAAACTTCGTATTTAAGAAATTCCTCGACCCAAGACAGCAAAAGGTAATCGGTACTCACAGTTTTCATTTTCATCAACATTTTTACGCGCTTTTAAAATTCACGAAGATAACGTTCG